TCCTTGTTAGAATTATAGTAGAATGGGCCCCAAAACTTTGGTGAATTGATCCGAGAGTTTGAGTTGTTAGGGTTTTAGTTTTCAGGGTGTTACGTTGAGGGTTTTAGGGATAGCTTAGGGGTTTAGGGTTGCGGCTCCCCTTGTACAAGGCCTCGGGGTGACCCATTTGTTCATAGCAAGCTCCGTTCTTCACGCGCCTGCTGGCTCGAGACACACAGGGGTACCATCATAAGAGTTTCCGTGTTTCATAGCGAAGAATGGACCTCGAAGCCAGTCGATCACCAACTTCCTCGGTTATCACTGCGTCGCCCAAGACGACGCAAAGCAGCCCTTCGAGCGCTGGATCCAGCGACACCTTTGCAAAGGCTCCGTTGAATCGCGGAAACCCAAACTCGTTAACTTTATAACCACCCAATTCTCTCATCAGAGCCGATATGCTGCCAACTACGAATGATTTTGGGAGGGTTCCTCGTTATAGTTAAGTCTTACAACATGCCCAAAACTATTCTAAAGTCTAGAGCCACGGTCAGATGCCGAAGAAATAGCTAGTAGGAATCACTTGTTGCCTGAATCTATGGGTAGAGCCCTGAAGTCCTAAACTTCCCTACGCCCTAAACCCCTAAACCCCTAAACCCTAAACCCTAAACCCTAAACCCTACACCCTACACCCCTAAACCCCTAAACCCCTAAACCCTACACCCGAAAGTGTCAATCGGGCGTCTTGTTTTGCCTCAGCCCTAAGCCCGAAGCCGTCAGCTCGGGGTCTAGATCGGGTTCCGAGAGGAGCTCCGGTTCGTGTAGCGTTTAGGGTTTAGGGTATAGGGGTTTAGGGTTTAGGGGTTTAGGGTTAAGAGTTTAGGGTCTTTGGGATCCTTATTATACTTAGACCGTACAGGAGCCCAACAGCCTAGTCGAATCATTACGGCCCCCTTACATCATAGAACCCTTACAGAACCCTTGCTATAGAACCCTTACAAAACCCCTTTTAAGGCGCCCAAAACCCCTCTTCTAATTATTGAGGCCGCGAGAGTATCTTGCCGAGAGGCCGAAGCAACCGCTCAATACGAGTTCGCCATCTCCGATCCCAGGAACTCCGGCGTATACATGGGGCCATCCATGTACAGGGTTTATAGGGTTTAGGGTTTAGGGTTTAGCATCGTAAACAGGATCCTCCTTGCTGTTATGATACCCTTTAGGCTTTAATTAGCTCCAAGATGTTTACTTAGTCCCTGGGCACTGTAAGCAGGAACTGTGGCATAACTCTGCACTACCTCGCGACCGGCTTTACATCGGGGGCTGCAAATGCCATCCTCTTCAATGTGATGGCAGGCTACCTGAATGTTCCCAGTGACACCATCAAGGCGGGCCTAAACCCTAAACCCTAA